AGTAGAAAATGAAGGCTAATCATGTTTTGGGTGTACTATTCCTTTAATACTAAATTGAATTTCCCTGTCTGTTAGTTTATTGGTGCAGAGAGGTTAAAAAAAAGAGGCAGTTTACTTTCAGTGTTTTGGTCCCTTTATTTACTTTTAACCACATTTCAAACAACTAAACAACCAATGAAAAAAAATGGCATCACCAGTTTTAAACAGCACTTTGCTGGACAAATAATCAGAGTAAGAATTTTACAAAAGAAATGTACAAATTCAGGACAAAATTCCACAATGAATGGATCCGAAATAAAATATAGTACAGATTAAGACCTGCGAACCAAACACATCAAAGAAAATAAATAAAGACTCTGTAAAAATGAAAAGGGATAAAGATTTCTGATATTCATTAAAGAACTGTTATGGTCTTTGTCCCACTAGGTCCAAAAAAAAGTCCAACTGGACTCAGGTGAAAAGAAAAAAGCTTAAACAAAGAGCCAACAGTTTGTCAAACTCCTTTATACAATGTCAGCTTTGCTGCTTCTCATGATGATCAGCGACACATTTTCCTCGATCAAATCAACCACAATCATGAGAAATTCACGAATAAACCAATAAATAAAACAATCATAAATCAAACATTTGGCTGATCCTAAAAGGCTGAAGTTAGAGCGGTGATAAAAACAGGAAAATCCTGATTTAATCTTACTGTTTTAGATTTCAGGACATCAGAAAAACAACCCGGGTTTCATTAAAACTTCCCTTAAGCGTTTAAAAACTATGATGGAGTATTAGACTTTCTTTTTTTTTTTTTTTATATGCGGATAAAGCCATAACATAAGATAAGAATAAAATCGTAGCATTACGAGGATAAAGCAGAATCCTGTTAAAGCAATGATACTGATAATAATCTGATGCTGGTTTGCTAAAAGACTTAATATTTTCTTATTTGTGAAGCCAAAGCCAAAGTAGGACTATAACTTCAAAAGATGCTCAACGTTCCGACAGTTCATCTTGTAAGAGCTGTCATAAAATACAACTTTTTCCTCATAAAGCGCCGATTTTATTCTCGTAACATTATGACTTTACAGTGGTAGCCATTAAAGATTTCCTCACTTCATGGGAAATTGGCTGGTCCCCTATAATTGGTTTTTAAACATCGAAAATATTCTTTCTTTCATGATTTGTGGACATTAAGATCGAAAGAGAATCGTCATCTCCTGGTCAGACCCTGTAATTCTGCTCTGACTCCACCCTTTCACTGAATGTATTGAGGATTTTATTCTGACGGTTCTACAGGAGCAAATGTGTCAGCTTGGATGGGATCAGCTTCTTTGATTGGTTTACACGCTGGGTCAAGCTGCAAAAGTTCAAATTTTGCAACAACGCTTAAATGCTCACTACACACTGCGCCCGCCGTGTCGTGCGAAACAGTCCAAACGCAGAGCAGGACCTCCGTGCAAACTTTTACGGACACAGTCTTGCATTAATATGCGAGGGCATTAAGTTTCTGAGGTCTTCATGGTGTCGCATGTCATAATTGCATCATTTAATGTCATCCGCCTGATTTTTCACTACCGTATACTACACATTCTCTTTACCTATGGGGAAACATTCTGCTTCTACTTATGAGGATTTAAGAAATACAAACACCTACAGGTGTCGTATGATTTGGCCTATGAAAATCACTACAATTAACAAATTGTGAAATAAGTCTTGTAAAGAAATGAATGCTACTCTTGGATGAGACACGGCTTAAAGGAAAAGTCCGGTCATATTCAGGATTCAAACTTTTAATAGTAC